TCTGACAGGGAAGTCCTACTCAATGCCTTCTCGTAGCGGGGGCGTTGTTTAGGGAATTAAGAGGACGAAAAGCGAGTGTCCGGCGCTTTAGCCGGATCCCAAACCAATGGTGCACATGGGCTCCAGTATCCTAAAGGAACAAATGGCGTATGAACCAATCGTTGGTCACCGGCTACCATGGGACCGCATCTCACGATGCTCCATTGCCTTGTGGGTCAGACCTTAAGGTCAAAGGCTCGGGGTGTGGTCTCCTAAGAAAACCACCTGTTCCGGTTTGGGCACCCGGGCAGTATCACAGCCCACACACAAATATAATGAAAATGATGATATTTACTGAAAACTCTATTTTCGCTTCGATTTACAGTCAAACAACTCACATTATTATTGTTTACTATGTCATTTATTCACTCTTTTATTCCTACTTTATGTATCCTTATTTTTCGACTCATACAGCAGCTCGCCTATGGTGGAAATTCGACTGTATCTAAACGTTCTCGAGTCACTATCCGGTTGAAAATTGTATGTTACCACCGAATATGAGTACTAAAGCAGTTTTTCTGAAACCACTTGCACCATTCAAACTGGCTACCTTCAACGTTCGCACACTTATGCAGGTCGGACAACAGATAGTGCTGGCTATGTCTTTGGAAAGTCTTAATATCGACGTTTGTTGAGGGATTTGTTGATCACAGGACAGATAACGGGGACCGTCTACTACAACTGTGCACAGACCACAACCTGTTTCTGGCTATCACTAACTTTCGGCACAGTCATCGCCGATGTACCACCTGGCATCCTTCATTTGCATCCCAAGCCTGGACTCAGATTGATCACATCGCGATCAGCTACCGCTGGCGTGGTTGTGTACAAGACTGCCGCTCCTTTTGGAGTACCTATCTGGACTCTGATAATATCCTGGTTTGCGCCAATCTTACCTTACTTTTCAGTGGTCAACGAAGTAACCGCCACCAAAGGATTGATGTCAGCATATTGGTTGCAACTTCTGTTGCTAGTAAGTATCGAACCGAGCTAGCTTCTAGGCTAGCTACCATTCCACCGAAAAGTATAGATGAGCATTGGTTGCAATTGCATGACGCCATCAAAATGGCGGGTACAGTCAGTTGTGGGTTCACGAAACGTCCAGCTTATAAGCACTGGGTTTCTTCTGGTTCCTTACAACTCATTGAACACCGTCGGTCTACTCCGGGCAACCGTGAGTTTGACCACAAACAAAGACTGTTACGTAATGAAATTGAGCAAAGCTTGCGTAAGGACCGAGAATTCTGGTGGTCGGAGCGTGCTAATGAGCTGGAAGCAGCAGCTGCATCTGGTAAGTGTGCGGATGATATTGTCTTACTGTGCGATAATGCCCAAGGCATGCAATCCGCACTTAATCAGTTGGAAATCAATGTCCGTAGGTACGGTATGTGCTTTGCATCTTCGAAGTGCAAAGTACTTCTACAATACTGGCAGGACCCTTATCCTGCACTCACCCTGGATGGTGAGCAGATAGAAGTATTCGAGTATCTGGGTAGTTGTATGAGTGCTGCTGGTGGCGTGAGTGATGAGATCAATTCACGTGTAATGAAAGCCAGAGCGGATTATGCCAATCTGGGCCATCTTTGGCGCCTTCGTGATGTTAGTCTGGCTGTAAAAGGTCGGATCTACAACGCGTCGGTGGGAGCAGTTTTACTCTATACTTGTGAAACCTGGCCTTTCTGAGTTAAGGATGTCAGACGACTCTGTGTTTGATAATCACTATCTCTGAAGGATTGCTGGTATCCAGTGACAACACCATGTTAGTAATTCAGAGTTTTGACACCGTGTGCTCCGGCGCACAGACGATAATGCAATTGGCGCTACCATCTTGAAACACCGACTTCGGTGACTTGAACACGTACTACGAATGTCGCCCCAGAGAATTCCTCGTCATGCATTATTTGCCGGCTCTGGGACTAGTTAGAAAAAGTGGGGAGGTGGTCAGTGTATGACATGGTGTCGTGGGATGAAAGAAAGCTACAAAGGGCTGGCTTGTGTTGGTCCTTCACGACTCCCTGGCTGGGGTCCTAGAGATGGTGCAACACAGTGGCTAGAGACGTTATGAGATATGGCCCAGAATAGAAGCCAGTGGCGATCCTGTTGTAACCTTCTTTTACCTTCTTCATAAAAAGTGGTTGTATCTTCCTTAACTTAAAGATTTCTTCTGGTTATACCCTTCCGTTTCCCCCACTCTTATTATTGTTATTATTACACTTCCTTACACTAATCTGGTCGTTATTGTTCTTTTTTTTCTTTTACGCTCCTTACCTGTTTTTCTCCCTACTTTCATTGTTTTGTGTGGTGCACATATATCTGGTACCCCTTGTACCAATATTTATGTGTTCAAATAAATAAATAAATAATGGTTTAATTATCTCATATCCAATCCTCTAGTGGTAGGATGGCAAGTGCGAATTTTAGTTTCCTCTATTATTTCACTGATATCTCTCAAAAGAATTGTTATGTATGATCAGAAATTTGGATTTTACAAACGTTTCAAGACTTAAATATTTCTGAACAGGTCTAAGCTAGTGTAACACTAACTTCCTATTTCTAACTAGCTTTTGTCGACCAAACTATTACGTGTTATTTCATCTTTAAGTAGATAGTAAATGTTTTACAACTATGAGTCTGTCCGACTGTTTTATTTTGTTCATACTTATACTTTCCTATTTTGATTGTGCTGTTACAGTAATAGACTATTGTTGCAAAACCTAAGTAGTACCACTGTAATACTTTATCTTTCCTATTAAGATGTCTCAGAATTAAATTTGATAGGAAATAAATATGGATGACAGCTCTAATTGTATTTTATTTCATAAAATAAGCTTAAATTACAAATCAGCCTGTAAACATTCATTGAATGATAAAATCATATTATGTGAGTTCGGTTCTGTGCTAATTGTTCGATAAGTGACTTGGGAATTACGTATGAACACCTTTAAGTTGTGAAACCATGTAAAATCACAAATCAAAATGAAGATTTAGAAATGTACACAACTTTTTGTTCTGATTTCAATTTGCTTAGCTATCTCACCCTTAAACATATCAGTGGTCAAACGCAGGACCCTAATGTTGTCGGGTGTGCGTTTACTCTGTAGACCACTGAGCTTTCTTCAGTACAAAAACCAAGAAATCGGTAGTGAATCGACTCATAAAAAGGCTGTTGAGTTGAAAATTGGGAACTACTAATACGCTAAATTCCAGTCATATTGATATGTATAGTTTTCAGGTAACAGCAAAAGCATTAGTTACGAACTGAAGAAAAGTGACATTCAATGGATTCTGAATTGGTTGTCATTCAAGAATACAGGATATTAAGAGGCTTTTTAAGACAAACAAAGACCAGCTGGTAACAAAGGTCAAGAAAAGGACGAGGTTGTTCGGTAGTAGTTTAAACGTTATAAAATGGCGAGTTCATTCTGGTTCGTGAAAAATGTATGTTCATATTACCATGTAGTTCATTAGAAAAAATACATCGTCTATTGATAAACCTCTTTACTTACAAATGTATATCTTCAACACTTGTCGCGAGATGAATTTTCAATAGAAGACTCGGTCAACCGTTTAATTTTGAGACATTAAAATTTCGGGACAATAAGGTGCACTCTTTCATAGATGATAATTGGAGTACTCAAAATGTGCATTCATTTTACCGGATTTTAAAGTGTAAGATAATGTTCAAGATCAATGTAATATATATGTTCTAACCATCAACATGTGAATGTTGGTGGTTAGCAGAAAATCAAATAGGAATTAAAAAGATTGTTAATATGAAAACAATATTTATTTGAAAATTGGCTAAAATAAGACAATTATAAGAAGTACTGGTGGGAAGTTCTCGTTAAAATTTTCTATTATAATAGTTTTAATATGGAAAAAATATCAAGGACATTGTTATCAACGTATTTCGTAAACTACATTGCATTCAAACTAATATTTGTCGCTTACTTTATGCTACTTATCCAATTTATAAGTAGAGTCAATCGCCCTGTTTAATAAAATTAACGACCTAATCTATCAGTTCGAAGACATAACAATAAAGATATGGTAGCAAATACGAGAGACGGAGGCAACCAACAACCTACCCTCAGAGAATGCTTATGTGTGTATCAGGAAGTACTGGCGCAGTAGATATGGGCTGAATGGTATGCATGTAATGTGTAAGAGACGGTCTGATGCAGCAAATACCTTTCTAAGGAAATGGTCAACATCTACCCTACCAAGTGGGTCAATATACCTACATGTATGTTATGGGATGCATTGGGTAAAACCTGTGTGTTACAGGTCTCCATGGGACGCATACTCGCTCACAGGGAAGGTATACCTGTATATATACGAGAAAATACTCGGATAGAAGTTTGTTTGCTACCTAGTACGTATGTAGACTAAACCTATCCAGGGTAAGTAAGAACTTCAAGCATCCTTTACTTGCTCTTCTTACAATACACAGATGCACGTAAACATGTGTGCGGCTGAGGTTTCCCACAAAACCACATCCAGGCAGTGAGTTTGTGAGCCTTGAGAACATGGAATCCATTCCAGATGGGACGACTGAGGCCTCACTCGAAAAGGCTTTATCTAACAATCTGGTTGGAATACTGTATCAGGGTGAATTGTATTTAGATTAGCGCATAAATTGAGAGATTTCACTAATTGTTTAGAATATCATGGTTTTAAAAAGTAAACTATTGATACTTTCTTTTAGTTTATCACTGATAGAAACAAAGAAGTTGACTTACAAATATCGCAAATAATGTACCGAGCATTGAAGCTTAAGTAGCCAATAAAGTGGATTCGCTTCGTATATTTGGTATTTCCCACGAATATCTCAGAGCAAGTTTAGAATAAATATGTACAGGGCGCATAGTGAATTGTGACTTCTTACAAAATCGATTAAACTGGATGAATAACGCGATCCCGTTCTGTATTTTATACATATTTAGTATCACATTTGGCTGATCAAGTGCACCGAAATCTTAATCAGTGATTCTCATAACCTGTCCTATCACCAGCAATCTTGGCTTAAATCACCGAACTCAACAACTTAAAAATACTATCAATTCAAACTTATTGACTCTATTATTTTACAGATCATGAGAGTGGATGGTACTCATAAACTGAAGTTCCGTAAATATAGTGTAATATGTACAATAATGCATAAAATTCAGGAGAAAATGTTTAAACATATTTATACATACAAAAATAGATGCATAAATTTGCATACTGATAGGCTGGAGAACAAACGAATCCGGCAATTCTGACTTATTCAGGCTCCAATAATATGTAAGGATGTTCATCCCAAAACTGATCTTTAATGATATCGATATTTGCTTGTTCAATGGCAGACTGTTTACAAAATATTGGAGTAAAAATGTGGTAGTAACAATCAACTCTGTCACACATTTTAGATAAAAAGAATGTACTATGATACAAAAGAAACGTAAGTGAGAAGACCATGACAGGTAATTATTAACGTAGACAATTCAGATGACAGTTTACCAGCAGCTCAGTCTGGTTAACATTATTCAAGTGAAGAGTTTTCAACTAAATTGATGCCTTTCTTTTATACGCTATTGAATTACAGATATTGACAATAAGGTGGCCGTATGGAGATAGTCGACAATAAATCCTGAATCTAGATTTTGTACTACAAGTCACTTGCCATCAAGGTGTGCCTGTAATCTTGATGGCACTGATGCTCCCTGGTGAGTTCGATTTCGTGTTATCCATTTTCAGTCAGAGACGTCACTGAGATATTCGAGTCACAACTGACCCACGGTAGGACTGAGATGCATTTACAACTGATTGATAACTGAGTAGTAATCAATGTCATGTATGTCAAGTCCTTCTTACCGTCGACGGGATTCTACAGGTAGATAGTTACATGGAGTCATACCGAAATCACAACCCAACATAGAATTTGATATGCACCCGGAAAGACTTAGCATAAATATCATTGGTCACTACTTGGAGATTAATCGATTACAAAGACTACGACAATGACTTCTGACCGATAGAATCATTTGTAAAAAATATCAATTTGAAAAATTCAGCTTAAGTTGGATATCACCAATGAGGACTTGAAGAAAGGTGAATATTTGTTCGATACATTTACAATCAACCTGACTTTTTTTCGAATGAAATGATCATAAACATCAGTTAAACAATGCTTAATTATGAAGATCAACATAATAGAAATCACATCAATCAAGGCGATTCGTTAGTGAATAAAATAGTGGTTTTATTTTTAAAGTTAAGTTTATCTGTGACTGACACTAGTTATGGGACAAGCCTCAGCTCCTAAATCATAGTTAATACCTCAGCCAATTCCATTGATAAGCACGGACTTCCATCTCTGAAAATGTCTGGATTAGTTAGAATCCGCCTCTTTCTCACCTAGTTATTTACAAATACGACAACTTTTCTAAGTTGGAAACTAGGTGTCATTGTTGTTTCTCTAACCTCAGCCTCTTTGATGAGCTTAAATCGCCTCTGCAACATTAGCTTATGCCACTGACTTCATTCGCGCCTTATGTTGTTGGTCTCTGAAGACCAGATTTTTGTCAGTAATCAATTATAATGCTTTTGATTATTGCCGTTTTCGCAGTCCTCAGAAATAGGCTTCAGAACATTCATGAATTCGGTAGAAGTTTCCGAAATCCAATGATACTTACCAACAAATTATTCTTAATCAATAACACGTGTGTCATACCAGACTTTGAATTTTACCAGGCTACCTCAAGATAAATACATCCATCATTTCGTGATACAGTATCTCTGAACGAAGGATAGTTATAATGAGTCACAGTCTGTCCGGATAGAGACACAAAGATCATACAACCGAATGGTTCGAATACGTTCGTACACTAAGTATTGTGTTTGTACATAAACAGTAGGATTTATCTTAATTGCAGTGTAATATTCTACTTATCCTAAAGTGTAACCATTTTGTTTCTAAGGTCTTCATCAATGATATATATATATATATATATATATATATATATATATATATATATATATATATATATATATATATATATATATATATATATATATATATATATATGCCACGCGGTGATTCCTATTACATTGAATCGTTGAAAATATTATTAATTAATAAGCACAAATCATCTTGTCAAGAAATAAAACTACCACAGATTGTATAACCAACTAAGAAATCACCCTGATATCGAGTTAATGGTCAAAACAATGAATCCTAACAGTTTCCTCATTAATATCATGTAGATGAGGGGATAAGAGCAAGTTAATTAATTATTTATAAAAATAAAAACTTTGTATTTCAACTTACATTATTTCTAAATAATACAGTACCTTTGCGAAATAGTTCTGGTTCATTGTTATAATTACAGTTGAATTGTGAAAACAATAACTCATTTTTGTCACTTGATAACGTTCCCTGTAACAGAGATAAATCAATAGTATATATATAGCAATGGTACTTAATGATTTTTTGACATGATGGCATATTACTTGTTTCGATGTCCATCAGGAGTATCAAACATACAGGATATAACAAAACACTTATTTTATAGATCTTATAGGCCATTCTAATAACAAGTCATGGTTAAAACTAATTACAACAGAAAAAAAGTAAAGTGTTACTAGTTTCTTCATGATTTATATTTTCATCCTTGACCAATAAATTCTTAATCTTGTTTTGGTGGAATATTTTGTATTGCTTTGATTCCTTAATATTTTCAGATGAGAATGTCATAGGCTCTACCCTGTGTAAGGTTTGAAGTGCACAATTTCGAGGAGTCCCATATGTCCAACAAATCTTGGTCTCAAGCAAATCAGCTGAAATCAGTCTATGATCTATCTTCAATTTAAAACAATCTTCTCCAATTTGTTATTTTACTGTCTAAAATTCTTTAAGAAGTATTGTGTTTTCTAAACTGGTTTGTTTAGTCATGGAAATTTGATTGTTTTTATATCCGAAAAAACACACCATCTTTAAAATCCCTATCTTGAACAATAATTATTCTTCATTATTTAAAATGTTTATTAGACATTCCGAAATTCTAATCTCCTGAATCCTTGTCTCTTTTTTTCTCTTTCCGAATTTATTTCACTGGATTATACTCTTTAAATAGCATCTTCAAACCCTAATCTTTCCAATTACTGCTTATACTCTTACCGCCTCTACCACTACGGGATTTGAATCGACAACTGCATCTCTGTGCTAATGTGGTGTGGCAACTCGAACTGATGTACGTACGAAGTTCTACGTTGTTACTGGCTGACATTCAGAGATCTTTATATATATTAACTGCATCATTTCAATTACTCCAGTAATTTTAAAAAAATCAACTGATTTGCTGGATAATAAAAATCACATAAATATCAAGTAATTGTAATGTTACACTAATAACAAATGTTCTAAGAATTTACATTTTCGTGATCACGAACACCTCGCAGTTTGACTAATCAAAGATCTGGTGAAAAAAGTAAACAGCTCGATAATAGCCCATTTAATACAAACTGGTCATAGTGCCAGTATAAACTAATCCTTTTCAATTATTTATCGAGTCAGTAATATTTTGTCAAACCTTTAAAGTCCTTCAAACGGCTGAATCTATGCGTACAAAAGGCATATCTTCAACCGCTTCTCCTTCTATGATCAACCTTAAGGCCAATTAATTCATAGTGATCTTAGTTACTGAATTACGTAATTTGGCTACTGTACATACGACCTTTCGTAGTCAAATATAATTGTCAGAAGGGGTTTGTGGAGATTTTAGAAATTTCACAAATTGAAATCATGAGTCAGTTGAAGCTAGACCACCATGAAAAACCTGGAGGCACTGGACGGCCGTTTCGCTCTAGTATGGAATTCCTCAGCAGTGTGCATCCATAATCCCGCACCCCGCTGGATTCGAACCCAGGACCTACTGGTTTCGCGCGCGAGCACTTAACCATACCAGGACGAAACGCCCGTCCAGTGCTTCCAGGTTTTTCATGGTGATCTAGCTTCAACCGACTCATGATTTTAATCTGTGAAATATAATTGTCTCTGTTATCTTCGTTCACAAATCTTTCTATTATTATTATTATTACTGGTTAAGTATAATTATTAATCTTCCCAATAAATGATTCATTTAATTCGTATTCATTTTTACCTTATTATGTCTTACTAATAATTTTTTACACAATATAGTCTTCTATTAAATAGTTGATCGAATTGTAATTGCATTACTATTATTTCTCATATTCTATCTGATCCATTATTTATTCTAATCGCGGATCATAAAATGTTCACTTAATATATAACCTGATTTAAGTTAACATTCTATATGAGATGAGTCACATATCAACCATTAATAATTTTATTCTATTTTATTTATTAATCTTAAATTCACATGTTTTATAAACTTGAAATGATCCATTTTGTCATCAATCTGATCATTTGATAGATTATTCATTAAAATATACAATTGTAAAATCTAAAGTGAATTTATCCAAAGAAAAATATTCTTTATTCAAATATTAATCTTTTTATAGGATAGGGAGGGATGTTTAAACAATTAAAATGGTTATTTTTTTTTCGTTTTTTTTTTAAAAATAAAATTTATGCAAAATACTCATTAATTAAACATCATTCACAATTTCAAATTTTTGCGCATTTTTTTGTTGTTGTTGTCTATTTAAGTTCTAATAACACAAGTTTTGATTAGATGTTCTATTGATTATTGAATGAATGAATGAATGAATGAACGAATGAATGATAGATATGTGATTAAGTTTATCTGCGATTTTGATATCAGTAATTGAATAAGTTAAAATTAACATTATTATACACTCCCCTCCCCCTTGTTTTTTTTTTAAAAAAAATCAATAAAAAATAGCCTGATTAAATTTACATAATGAAAAAAAAAACAAAGTGATTTGTATTTAAACGTCATTGATTTTTTTTCAAAAAAATTTTTTTTACAGTCTATGAAAATAAATTAAGAAGTGTAAATTAAATTTGAATAGAAATGATAATGTTTAAAACTAAATAATTTGAAGCAATTTTTATAATCATTAAGTTGATGAATTTCTTGAATTGAACTAATTTAGACCATCATTGAAAGCCTGGAAACAATGGATAGACGTTTCGTCTTAATATGGGACTCCTCAGAAGTGGGCATTCATGGTTCTATGCCAAAAACACTCTAACGAAGGACCTTCGGTCTCTCATGAGAACAATTAACCTCTAGACCATTGAGCTAGCTGGTATTCAACGGTGTTAATATCCAACTTCAACAAATTCATGATATTGCATGACTATCCACCATTGTCTTCAGTGAATAACTGTCTCACAACAGACACGGTTGAACTTCACGACTTCCCACCAGATCTTCAGGAAATCCATTTTGAAGTCTATCACTAGTGAGCACATTATTATTATTAGAATGGTGGTTTGTGGAGATTGTAGACTGAAGGTCTTGGGTTCGAGTCCCATGTGTGGGATCGTGGATGTGTACTGCTGAGCAGTCTCTTACTAGGATGAAATAGCCGTCCACTGCCTCTAGGTTTTCAATGGTGGTCTAGCTTTAATCGACTCATAAATCCAACTATTAACATTACTACAATCTCCACAAACCTTTATTCTGATGATAGACTTCTGTTGCTTTGACTATGAAGTGAAAAATGTTTAATTTCAAATATTAATTTACAAGTTCAAGTATAGTATCTCTCATTTATTTCAATTTTGACAATCAGGTAATATCGCTAGACCTCATCATACTAAGAATGTGGCTCAAAGCGAAATACACAAATATGTACATAGTAAATCAGTTAGGAAAACACACCCGGCGATAAACATTCGACTGAGAGTCAGAAAATATGATAATAAAAGCAACACTAATAATTATTAATATAAGGTTGTGAAGATTGTCGAATTCCTAGTTTATACATGATGATTGTACTATTACACTGAATAAAAGAACTAACGATTTTATCCGTTTTCATATGGATTGTAATGATATTCAATCATTTCATGAATTAATGCCATCCAACGAATTACTTACACCAATTTTATGCAAAGTCAACGATAGACTATTAGGATAGAACATCGTTTAGTATGAGTAAAGTATACTTCAATCCTCCATTTTACCCGAAATATTCATTCTTAAGCTCTATCGGATAAAAAAAAGTTGCCTCAAGTGACTCATCACAAAACTAACATGATTTTAAGTAATGAAATTCACTGATTGTCATGCAGAAACTAAAAATAACGATAAATTGACTAGTAATTTATATTTGTTTCACTGAGTAACGAGAATATCATAAAGCTACAAACAGTCTATACCAATTAGAAAAACTTATTTATTTAGTAAAAATACATTTTTAAATAAACATGAAAACAATGTATAAAAATGTTGATAGGCCAGAATAGATTAGTTCAAGGACAAATAAAATAATGATTTAGCATATTAGATATCAGCAAATTGAAGTGCTCAATTTCAATCTAGTTACTTCCTGTTGGAAATGAACATCAATGATCAAATCTCTATATAAAACTTTCATGTTATCTGATATCAGCAGTTATGCTTTTTAGGTGTGTTGTAAAATACAACATCCTGTCTTACCGTCAACTCCTTTGCATAGACATAAACAATAGAGGCCATAGTCTGTTTGAGCTGATTGTTTGGTAAAAAAAAACTTTCGCTGATAAAACTTGATGATACGATTATTTTATGGAAATTAAAAATCGTCAAACACACTGTACTGTTATTCCTGAGTGTATAAACATGGTGAGATAGGTGTTATGATCTGCACTTCGGTCAAAACATACAATGAATATAGCCTAAACAATTTACTTAATTAAACGATCTAATCATAGAACGATAATTAAGTGAAATGTTTACTCTAACATGAAAGATAACATCTATTCTGTATGTAGATTATGAAACTGACAAATAATTTATTCAGTTTCTAACTGATAGATTACAAATGAACTAGACAAGATTTGACAAGTTACACTGTATCTCAAGATTCTATGGTAAGTCATACATAAGCTTCGGCGAAATGATAGATCATCCATCTAATCGAGGTTATCATCAATCTCATAAGTTCATGTCAAAATCAATCTGTTTAGCAATAAGTACAATACCAGCTCTAAGTTTATTTCACTCAATAATGTAACCGCTTTCAATCCAATATATTGTTTCCTTCTTATTGATTACCTTGGTCAATTGTTAATAGTTAAATCACACTTTAGGTGGTAACACATTAATCGATAAACTAACCATCTGACGATAAATGCTAAAAATAATTGTAAACGTTATAGAAACAACTTTCTCTTAAATTATTTTGTAAAAGAAGAAAATTTCAGGGTAGCTTATAAACTGTTTACATATAATAAATGTGGTATTAATGAACACATTGATCCATTATCTATCATATTTCAGA